AGACTCTAACCAAGTTGTCACACAGACCAATGGACTGAAAACACAGACTCTAACCAAGATGTCACACAGACCAATGGACAGAAAATACAGAAAAATGAAGGGAAAAGAAAAACTTCATCAATTCTTTTTCTGCTAAATTGCAAGGGCATAGAAAAGAAATATAGGGTATTGTGTAGGATTGTGTTGGCTACCTTATGTAGAGTAGGCATCATCACAAGAAACATATCTTTATTTTTAGGCCTAATGAGTAATGTGCTGGGATTTGATGTTTCATATCTGACTACCACTTCACACTGTAATAGCGCTAGCCCTCTTCTGAGGCTGAACACCTGGCGTTACAGTTAATTATTTTTTATATTACTGTACCCATTTCTACCCAAACAGGTGCTTCATACACACATATCTAAGTACTGGTGGGAGAACATTAGAGAAGGTTTATCAAACAGATCTCTGTAGATTCATAACAATATTTACAAATTGGAGTCAGTTTCAAGGCTGAGTAACAAATATAACCAATTTCAACTACATAATACCGACATATTGCATCTCATATGTAAATGACGTGTACATATACTTTCCATCTATCAACATCAGAAATTAATTTCTGTTGATTTTTAAGCAAAAAGATAGACATTCACCTAAATATTCTGTATACAAAAAAAGTTCTCCCATCCTCCAACCTCCCTGTAAAACCAACCATCAATTTTAAGTGGCCCGGATACCTGGCAGGCAAACACGGATATGTCCTAGAAACAGGTCGACACAATCACCGACAGAAAATCTGCACTGACCTTTCTCAGCGATTCCTGTCACTCAGTACAGTGAGATAAGGAGACAAAAGGTTGAGCCAGTTATAGGTTCTGTTGTAACGGTTTAAAGAGACTGTTTACTACAGGAAATGTTTAAGTGTTACAGTATAGAGATATTACAGAAAAAGGTAATAATAATTTGAGGTTCTTATATATACCGCTTTATCACAGACTTGTTCATAGATCATCTCAAAGCGGTTCACAAATTATTATCTGTGGTTATAGGGCCTTTGCAACTAGCCAATATCTTTCTCAACTCCCTGGGCAGCATACAGCCGGTACTGCCATTTTGGCGCTCACAGCTAGCATTCAACAATTCTAGCACTGCCCAACCTACTACTCATTTACAGCCGAGTAGACTGGAACAAGTGGAGTAAATTATCTTGCTCAAAGATACAACACAGTGCCGCGACATGACTTGAACCTGCAACCCTTTGGTCACGAGCCCGGCGTCCTACCACAAGACTACTGTGCCTTCCTTCGGTCACGAGCCCGGCATCCTACCACTAGACTACCGTGCCTCCCTTTGGTCATGAGCCCCTCGTCCTACCACTAGACTACCGTGCCTCTCTTCGGTCACAAGCCCCACGTCCTACCACTAGACTACCGTGCCTCCCTTCGGTCATGAGCCCCTCATCCTACCACTAGACTACCCTGCCTCCCTTCGGTCACAAGCCCCGCGTCCTACCACTAGACTATCGTGCCTCCCTTCGGTCATGAGCCCCTCATCCTACCACTAGACTTTTCCCTTCGGTCACAAGCCCCGCGTCCTACCACTAGACTACCCTGCCCCCCTTCGGTCACAAGCCCCGCGTCCTAACACTAGACTATCGTGCCTCCCTTCGGTCATGAGCCCCGCATCCTACCACTAGACTACCGTGCCTCCCCTCGGTCACGAGCCCCGCGTCCTACCACTAGACTTCCGTGCCTCCCTTCGGTCATGAGCCCCGTGTCCTACCACTAGACTACCGTGCCTCCCTTTGGGCACGAGCGCCGCGTCCTACCACTAGACTACCGTGCCTCCCCTCGGTCACGAGCCCCGCGTCCTACCACTAGACTTCCGTGCCTCCCTTTGGTCACGAGCCCCGCGTCCTACCACTAGACTATCGTGCCTCCCTTCGGTCATGAGCCCCGCGTCCTACCACTAGCCTACCGTCCCTCCCTTCGGTCATGAGCCCCGCGTCCTTCCACTAGACTACTGTGCCTCCCTTCGGTCATGAGCCCTGTGTCCTACCACTTCACTACCGTGCCTCCCTTCGGTCATGAGGCCCGCGTCCTACCACTAGACTACTGTGCCTCCCTTCGGTCATGAGCCCTGTGTCCTACCACTTGACTACCGTGCCTCCCTTCGGTCATGAGCCCCGCGTCCTACCACTAGACTTCCGTGCCTCCAGGTAGATAGGTATCTCTTGAATTAAGGTTACTTTAAGATACTTTTCATATGTCACAGAGCTCCCGCACTTGGGCTGATTGAACTATTTCCGTAAAGTCATCTTAATTTCTTGTCTGCTGTTGACACGATTCCTTGTAGATATATGGGTTACATATCTGGGAGTCCACTTTTGGTATATAGTATCTTAGTTTGTTACCAATCGAGCACAGATCGGTAATGTGTAAATATTCTTTTTTTTAAATTATCCAACAAAATCTAACCTTCATGAAGTTGTCCCCGAATGTAACCTACGAAATTGAACCCTTATGAAACTAAATGCTTTTACAGTATAATTGTTTAGATTAGGAACAGACTTTTATAAGACAAATAATAATTACTGAAACGAATCCCATACTCCTGTTGCACAGGTGTTTTTTAGACCATACTCCTGTTGCACAGGTGTTTTTTAGACCGGGTGGGTCAATGATCCAGTTTGTTTATACTGACTCTGTAACTTTGTTACACTCTATACAGTGGGAGATCACCCCCTCCCCACCAATACACCCTCCTCACAGCTAAACCTTACTCCAATGGTATAGAGTATCCTCCCCGGGTTGTGGGTTGTGGGTTGGGGGGGTGGGGTAATATACAAACCAGTAGGGAAACTCATTCCATTAGAGATGGTCCTAAAGGTGGTTTTATTCCCTGGGGGTAGAGGTGGTAAATGAGTGGTGAGGGGGTCTCACTCTATATGATGAAAATGGTATATTTTCAGGGGGAGGGGATCATAAGAAGTAAGAAAATCTGTCTCTAGTGAAGGAAGTGTGGCCCTAGGGGCTAAGCATCATATATACGGAAACCTTCCTCAGCAGAGAAGGAGGTTCAGTCCCTACCTGCAGGGGGAATGGGGTTAGGGTGGTTGGTTAGTTTATAATAAATAAAATTTATGTGCTAGTTTTCCTTTATAATCATTTGGTGAATTCCTTCAAACTGGTAACTTCCCTATATCATACACATCCAAAAACAAACATTGTCAGTATCAATTTCTTCATATTTCCATCCACTTTTGCCCCTGCTAATAAGACAGTGTAATAGCCATACAGTATATATCTGTACTTAGTCTTACCTGTACAGTACTAGTATATACCTGTAAACAATGTTACCTGTACAGTATATACCTGTAAACAATGTTACCTGTACATTATATACCTGTAAACAGTGTTATCTGTACAGTATATACCTGTAAACAGTATTACATGTACAGTATATACTTGTAAACAATGTTACCTGTACAGTATATACCTGTAAACAATGTTACCTGTACATTATATACCTGTAAACAGTGTTATCTGTACAGTATATACCTGTAAACAGTGTTACCTGTACAGTATATACTTGTAAACAATGTTACCTGTACAGTATTTACCTGTAAACAGTGTTACCTGTACAGTATATACCTGTAAACTTTGTTACCTGTTCAGTATATACCTGTAAACAGTGTTATCTTTACAGTATATACCTGTAAACAATGTTTCCTGTACATTATATACCTGTAATCAGTGTTATCTGTACAGTATATACCCGTAAACAGTGTTACCTGTACATTATATACCTGTAATCAGTGTTATCTGTACAGTATATACCCGTAAACAGTGTTACCTGTACAGGATATACCTGTAAATAATGTTACATGTACCTGTACAGTATATACCTGTAAACATTGTTACCTGTTCAGTATATACCTGTAAACAGTGTTACCTGTACAGTATATACCTGTAAACAATGTTACATGTACCTGTACAGTATATACCTGTAAACATTGTTACCTGTAAACATTGTTACCTGTACAGTATATAACTGTAAACAGTGTTACCTGTACAGTATATACCTGTAAACATTGTTACATATACAGTATATACATGTAAACAGTGTTAAAATACCTGTAAGTGTAGGTACAGTGTACCTGTAATCTAATCAATGTTACCTGTGAATAGGAAATATAAGCCAACAAAGTACTGTTACCTGTATAATTCTGTTACACACCTGTAAATATAAACAGTCAAGTGACTTACCTCATCATTGTTGGTGCCTTTAAAATTGTGGAGAGCCTTCACCCGCTTTGGTTGCTGTTGGTTTGGTTCCACCATCTTTATGAACTGTGGTTTCGGTTTGAGTTCGGGTTTTTTGTTGAGTGGAGGTGGAAGTTCTGGTTTTTTGTTGAATGGGGGTGGGGGGTCAGGCTTTTTGTTGAGAGGGGGTGGGAGTTCAGGTTTCTTGGCCTGTGGTATGAGATTGGCTGTGGCGGTGGCTGTCACATGTGTACGTGCGACTTTTATCGCTTCGTACGCATTTTCCTTAACGTCCTGAAACTCCTCGTAAATTGGTTCGTCCTCATGCGGTTCCGGTTTATCGACCTCAATCCTTATGATGGTGTTTCGTGGGGACACAAATGGGGTGGAGTCCTCTGATTCCCCAGTGAGCACCCCCCCTTCTTCTACCTCCCCCTCGGGCTTGTTATCCCCTGGGGTGGGGCAAACCGCCTGCTGTTTGGCCGCTTTCTCCTCCTCCTCCCTCTGCTGTCCCCGCTCCTCTAAAATAGCAATAAAGTCATTGATTTCATTCACAATCACATCAAAATCATCAGACAATTCTGTGCTGGAGGTCTGCTTTTGTTTAGCCTGTTTATCCATCTCTCCGACACAGGGGATGGACCAGGCCAGGATTAACACCAAATCTAACCTAGAGATAAGCCATCAACCTCTATGTAAGAATTTATCCCTGGGAAACCTTGTCATGGTAGAATCAGCAATTCTAGCGCTCAAGCCTGGGTATTGGTAAAGGAGGCTGGTGAGAGGGTATAGTTAAGATTCAAAACTCCCGAAGATTTCACTGCTGACTTATTCCTGATTCACTTTAGACTGGGGCCCACTTTGGGTACACACAATATCGTGCAAAAGAATGCACGTGGAATGCTCAAATAATTATATCCAGCAGTAAAGTGAATCCATCCCTGATTTTCAATTTCCTGTGAAGACAGAAACTAAGAAGTGGATCTGCATGCCAGTGAGGGTACAGTGTAGTACAGTATCGACACTGGGAAGCTGACATAATGCTCAGGGTCTCAACTTGATGTTAGATAAACAAGATGTAAATTGACCCAGAGTCACCTCTCTGGATAGATCAGCCCCACTGATTGGCTACTTCTCATGCTCGTGCTGATCAAGGGGGGGTCACCAGGGGGTAGTGTTATATCTATAGGAGATCAAACCCACTGCCTCCCACTTCTACACACAAACTTCCCCACATACATTTACAGGTATAATACATGCAATTGGAGGAATAGCAGGTAACAGCAGTGACTCAGTACATAGACCTATAGCTCCCTGTCGAGTTTTATACAGTATATATACAGTTTTACTCCTATTGAATCCAGCCAGAATTCTGCAGTGCTGCCAAAAATTAAGAACCTTTGAAAACTTCAAACCCAGACAACCTATCTATAAATAGTGTAGATGCTTGGAACTGATAAGAAAGATGATCTAATGATAATACAGAGCTTCAGAGTGTGTAGCACAACCAGAGTGGAAGTCCACGGACCTAATGGTTTTAGCAGGACAACACGGTCACGCCAGCATTCTTTTACATGGATTATCAATAGTGTTTTGTAGGGTTTTACATGGGATGATCACACTACCGGACAAGATGAGAGGAACTGAATGAAGTACATGTTGATTGGCCAGGATTGGTGGATCAGAGGAAAGGGGAGATAATTAAGCTGCGAGGGGGTATAGTTCTGATAAGATACTTAATTCCCAGCCTATGTTAGATAGAGAGGATTCCTGTGGGGAGATAGATTGGAGGGGAGATATATAGAATTGGTGGAATGTAGGACACCCGACCCTCTGATACTGATGTGGTGTTCCAGGTCTAGGCAAACATCACTCAATTAACAGATGATTATCACCTGAATTAACAGTTAATGATTAAACAGGAATTTCGTCAATTTGATTAACAGATAAACAAAAGCACTAAATAAGTACATTGTTACAAGAATTTTTGTTTTATCCTAAATCAACAGTTCGAATTAACTTGATTTCATCATTATAATCAACAGCTTATTTTAAAGAAATTTCAGCATGAAATTTACAGATTTCTGCCACAATTCCAGTAACAAATCACTGTAAAAGATAGTTATAATTTTAATTCATTAATAATGAGCAGATAATCTTAAAAAACAATCTTTATAAATTATCAAATCATTATCATATGATTATGTTGTTAAGTGTTAGATGATAAAAACAGAATTGAATCATTGATACATTTTTACAAGTTTTAACCAAATTTCACTGGTTCAACTAATATCAACAGAATTTTTTTTAAAGAAATTATACGGAAATTTCGTCAGATTCACTGTTTAGGAACTGCTTGAGCTTCAGTAAAGTAAGGGACTTTGATCAATGAATGAACATACAGATTCATCACTTAATTAGGATAGCTTCATCGTAGTTATAGAAGGACTTCATCACCACTAAGGTAAAGTAAGAGACTTTGATCAATGAATGAACATACAGATTCATCACTTAATTAGGATAGCTTCATCGTAGTTATAGAAGGACTTCATCACCACTAAGGTAAAGTAAGAGACTTTGATCAATGAATGAACATACAGATTCATCACTTAATTAGGATAGCTTCATCTTAGTTATAGAAGGACTTCATCACCACTAAGGTAAAGGAAGAGACTTTGATCAATGAATGAACATACAGATTCATCACTTAATTAGGATAGCTTCATCATAGTTATAGAAGGAGTTCATCACCACTGAGGTAAAGTAAGAGACTTTGATCAATGAATGAACATACAGATTCATCACTTAATTAGGATAGCTTCATCATAGTTATAGAAGGACTTCATCATCACTGAGGTCATGTCATCAATTATTGTAAGTTATGATTATTGAATAACTAGGGTTTGTAGTGACCGACTAGGGTTTGTAGTGACCGACTAGGGGTTGTAGTGACCGACTAGGGTTTGTAGTGACCAACTAGGGGTTGTAGTGACCGACTAGGGTTTGTAGTGACCAACTAGGGGTTGTAGTGACCGACTAGGGTTTGTAGTGACCGACTAGGGTTTGTAGTGACTGACTAGGGTTTGTAGTGACTGACTAGGGTTTGTAGTGACCGACTAGGGTTTGTAGTGACCGAGACCGACTAGGGTTTGTAGTGACCGACTAGGGTTTGTAGTGACCGACTAGGGTTTGTAGTGACCAACTAGGGTTTGTAGTGACCGACTAGGGTTTGTATTTTTGACCAATAAGGTTTAGTAGTGACCACTTGAATTTTTATAGTGACCAAAAAAGGTTTTCTCCTCAACTAAGATTTGTTAAGGACATACCTGTACTCATGATCATGTGATCCTTCATTTTATTTTGAACCAATGTACCTTATCAAACTCAGCTGATTTTTGCACTTCCACAAACCTGCTTTAAGCTATGGTATCCCATTAGGTTTGATATTATTTCAGTAAGTCAAGAGAAATGAGGTAATAAAAACAAGATTGGAAGTGAGTCATCAGGCCAAACAAAGGTACGCTTGTGTTTCAAGTATGTAAAAGTTTCGTGATGAAAAGCTGAAGTGTCTACAGGTGATGGTAGGCAATGCTATACATGTTAAAGGGACAGATAACCTGTCTACAGGTGATGGTAGGCACTGCTATACATGTTAAAGGGACAGATAGCCTGTCTACTGGTGATGGTAGGCAATTGTATACATGTTAAAGGGACAGATAACCTGTCTACAGGTGATGGCAGGCAATGGTATACATGTTAAAGGGACAGATAGCCTGTCTACAGGTGATGGTAGGCAATGGTATACATGTTAAAGGGACAGATAGCCTAACTTTATAAAGTTTTCATTTAAACTTGGAATCAACATGTAAATGTACAGGTACATGTATGGTAGTGTTATCAGAAACACAGAAATCTGTCTTTCTGATTTTCCTACATTTCCTAAACTTTAGTGCTTACTCTATTTTTTTCTTCTCTTATGTTAATTAACAAAGCCCTATTATAGTCTGAGAAAATCATCATATTATCTTTTTTTAAATATACTATATTTTTTATCGATCAACAGCAACTTATCCTCATTTTTTGAGATGCAAGAGGCAACACAACAATGATTTAGTTCAGCCTTATTTGTAAAATGTCCATCAAAACATGGAGAGAACAGTAAAGGAAACTAGCAATGATGTTAATTTATTCTGCACTCCGATATATTCTTATATAAACGTACATCTGTTAAAGAAAAGGAAGCTCCAATATTTAAATAATTCCATATATATTAAACTGGAAAACATATTTCTTGCAAAAAAGGCTTAAGATCAGTTTAAATTCAACAACAGATGTACAAAGAACGCTACACTACATGTAGGTAAATCACAAATGAATGCTAATTGATACAAAAATATGAACGAAGATATGTTTTTTCTGTAACTCAGGTGAAATAGCTAAGGCTTTTCCTGTGGTGTTGAAAATCCTTTCATTTCCATTCAATTATATGCAATTGCATAGTTCAAACTTTACGAACTAGTTAACCTATCACTTAAAATTCAAACAAACCTGAGTCGTGTTGATCACTCCACAATGTCATAAAAATTGGTGATACATGTACAAAGAGTCCCACAACATGCGACCATTATTTATCTTGCTTAATTAGCAGCCAATATAATACATCATCATGTAGCATGTACTTATAAGTTAATTAAACTAATTTTAAAAGATAAATTTTTAAGGCTAGTTTTCTATTGAAATTATTAAAATCAACTCATTTATATTGGATAAAATTATAAGTTGTACAATAATAGTTACTCATAGTGAAATATTGTTCTAAGATCTCTTCATACTGTTATATATCTGGAACGATTAACTACTGTTACTAAATAGAAATTAAACAGCTGCAACCAGATTTGAAATTTAATCTAGAGTGTAAACTATTGAAGAAAAATGTTAATAAGATCATGAAACATTATCTTTTAGATTAAATGTTTCTAATTTTAAGAAAACTTTTTCAGTACAACACTTAATGGTATATGAATACATTATGTACACATTAATAAGGTTCAACAAAGAATGGAAAATTATAAGAGCCACTATGGTCAAAGGGAGGTAAGTATTTAAACAACATGTTAAATGAACTTTTGTGTAGAAGAAAAACACTGGGTTTTTTTCAAAATAAAAAGTAAGCAAATACATAAAGAAAAAAAAAATGAAGTCAGTTCTGATTATTTTATGAAGGAATATGAGGATCAGACAGAAAAGAGATAAAATTCATTACAAATATGGCGGCGGGAACTGACGTTTCTACGACGCCAAGGAAAACGTACCCATTGGGTAATAACTGCATAGGCAACACCGCCATATAGTCTTTCTTCTCTAATAAAGCTTTGAATATCTTTTTCTGTTCGGGTTTCAGACAATCAATCTCAAATAACTTCAGAACTTTCGCATCATTCTCATCAATGTCCGCCATATTTGTTACAACTCCGAGCGCCCTTTTGAAAGAGGGTCTCTGATTGGTCAAAATTTAATGAGT